TAAAATGATGAAATGCTGTCGGCGTTAATAGAAATTCTTTTTGAACTTTTGGATGAAATGTAATAAGAGTGAAATGAAATAAAATAATGAAAAGCGTAATGGCAATGCTGTGCGGCGCGCGCGCTGAAAACAAAGTGGAAAGAATTATGCTGCAACCCTTTGCTGCCGCGCATGATAAGCAGCTAATGCTGCCTACATTTAGGCGCAATGAAAGTTTTATTCACTTTTGCGCTACTTCGGCGTGAAACAACAAAAGCAAATCAAAGCAAGTGGTATACAAATACTAAATTCAATTTTCAAAATGCATGGCAGAAATTGATTTGCGTCATTTGAAGTGATTGCGCCTGCATGTAGGCCACATTTTCAAATTCAAATCATTGGATGTTAAAAAATGGGTTGCTGCCCTAACTTATTTATATATCGTTTGTCTTTATGACTCAAGAAACTCATACACAAAACTCGAAATAATATTGCCACGCAGTTTGCGTCGAATGTTTTGGCTATTTGTTTTCACCTGCCACTGCTTTTTTGTTTGCTCACCATTAAGCAATCATTTTTATAAGCGTTACATTTGCAATTCTGGCACCTGCTATTTATTACACATATCTCTTTATTTTTCTTTGCTTTTAACGCAGGCTTTCTCGCTCCATTTGCGTACTCAGCGCAAACAGCGGAGGGAAGTGGAAAGAAATCTAAGTTAGAAGTGGAACTTTGCTTCACCGTAAATTTTCGACAATATAATCACTACTTTTCTATTTTTTTCTTTCTATTTTAGCCAACTACTCCTTCCACTTTTTAGCTATATATCGCTCATATTCGAAATTACTTTACGAAATCATTCAATATCTTCGCATTAGACCAGCTTCCTCAGCTCATTAATCCACTTGCTACTTTTTCGTATCAACTTTAATCAACATTTTTTCAATTATTCTCCGCCAGCGCACAAAATGATCAAAGGAAATGAGAAAAGGTGCAATTAAATATCAGTATATCAATTGCTACAGTGTCGTTCGCGGCCTGCCAGTCATGCCACACGGCTGGCAAGTTACTCAAGTTAATTCCTACAACAACACGCTATGTCAATATTAAATTGATTTCAGCACCACACTAACAAAAGCCTGTGGACACGTGTGTGTGCGGTCACAGGACAGCAGGCGGTGAGCTGCGCAAGTTATAAGTGCAATAATAATTTCATTAAATCCACAGTATACTAAGCGCTGAAGAACCAACTTATTTTTATGTGTAATATTTATAGAGAAAAAATACTAAAGTAACGTAGGCGACAGAGTTGAAGGAACTTTGCTGTATAGTTGTGGGTGGATTGCTACTACCAAAGTTATTGGAAATATTTTTGTGCTGCGTGATAAAAGAAAATCGCAAAAAAAATCAATGCGATTTATTTTTACACACTGTAAATATGTATAGTATATATTTTTATTTTCTAACAGCGTCAATTTTATTTTTTAATTATTTTTCATTAAAAATGTAATAAGAACAGTGCATTACCAAGCAGTTGTTGGTTATCGATTTTCGATATTAAATGTTGGCGTTCAATATCTATTCACATTAAATCTGATATTTTCATACATTGAGCTCATTAGACTTTATAACACAATTTATATTGAATTATTTGTATATGTATGTATGTCTGTGCATTTCCCATTATATTTTAAGTTGTTTGGAGTTCGGTGCACATTTTTACCTCAACTCACTGCCAGTATTGATGCGCTTGAACTGTCTACAATTGAATTGAATTGTACTTGCGGCACTCACGTTTAATTTTATCGCTACAATTGTAAACTTCGAAATCTATATAAGCGCATGAAGAAGTAAGACGAGCTTTCAGAGATACTTTACACCTAAATATTTTATACAACTAACACTTTAACTACTTCTAACCATATTGCAGCACTGCCGGTCACTGTCAACACTTGGCAAACAAACAGACGCGCTGAAAACTTGATGCAACTCCTTGTAGCGCACAGCAAGCAGTGACAACTATAAATAAAACAACAAATGTGGATGTGGAGTGCAAAGAAAAAACACACAGGGAGGAAGAAAAATCGAAAAGTAATATTGAAGCAGTAAAGCATTTTAATGAAGAAATAAACTTCATGTTGAGAAACTTATTTTTCCTTTCTATTTTCATTTGCAGCTGTGTATGTATGTATGCGAGGACGTTCATATTATACGAGAAATACAAAAGCAAACATAGTAAATAGACAACTTGTAATTCGAGGCAAGCTTTGCAGCCACCTTTAAGACAGCGCACTAAGTTTGTCTGCCGGTTGTCATTATATATTGCTCTCTACCCACTTTATAAGTGTGTGTGTGTCCGGACCGTTGTGGCATCCTGTGAGTTCTGGATGTCATGTGTGTGTGTATGTGTGTATGTGACATTTCCAGAACTTTTCAAATTGATTTCATTAATTTGTTCACACATCTTGTTGCCAATTCCTCTCGAGTTGCGCATTTTTCTCGCACTCCCCTTTTGTGAGCTATATATTTAACGCGTTAAGCGCAAACTTTAGCAGTTGAGACACTTTTATTTCTTCTTTATTGGTTTTTATTTTTAAATGTTAGCATTAAAGTGTACAGAAATAGACGCTGAAAACATTCTTTAGCCGCTGATGAACGCACGGCGGGTTTCCAAAGCAAGCAAGGAAAAAACTAATTTTAAGAAGATACCAAATAAAAAGCGGAGAGTAAAATCTTTTCAAAACAGCAAGTGAACTTTGCAGAATATGCCAATTTGCATTTTTCATTTCATTCATTTCTCGGTAGAAACTAAAATTTCGTTCAATAATTCCTCTGGAACTAAACTAAATTTCATGTTGCCTACATTTAGGTGCTTCACAAATTTTTTGTAATGAACAGTAATTAATGCAGCGCGTACTCTACATCCACAAACGTTGCCACATTCAGCAAACTTTAAGTGCTGCCAATTAAACGCTAATCGTGCGTACAAATTAATTTAGAGAGCGCAAATAGAAATATTTTACTGTAATTGCATGATCTAAACTTTTGAAGCAAACTTTTAGAAGCACATGCTTAATGGTACAGTTACATAGAAGTGCAGAAGCATTTAAAAGTGCGTAGAAATGTTTGTGAAGTATAATTTTAGGCACCAAAACAACTTTTTGAATTCGATGAGTTCAGTTTACAGTTATAAATTGATACTTAGAGGATAGTAGCTATTTAAATATTTGAAAACACAAATCGGGATATTATTGGAAGATTGTTACGGATTCTGGCAAGGGCAGCGAAAGATTGTAGATTTATTAAGACAAGCTATGCGAAGAACTTCCAAGTCGATGGTATAGAACTCGAAAATGTTAAATAATTTCAACTAAGGACCATAGGAAGACATCACCACCCGTATAAAGAAGGTCAAGCTAGCTCTCGCTGCACATAAAAATAAAAATATTAAACTCCAATGTTAAGCCTACAAAGCTTAGATTACTATACGACACGAATGCTGGCATCTCTCTGATATTCAAAATCTACGAGTTTTCAAAAAACCGATGCCTTTGCAATACCAGATTCCTATATTTTATCCATAAGCCGCTTAGAAGCATAAGACGATTTTCTTCCTTCTTACTTTCGCATATTTTACCGAACTTCCACTACAGTTCCACATTTTCTTACTTTATCTTCCTTCACTTGATACTGCCTACCGCAAGTCTACACACAGAAACACATTCCGACGGTCTTAGTGCATAAATACCAACAGCTGAAGTGTCACCGCAAAAGCAATAATTAACACAGATTTCGATTTTATTGACACATTACACAACAACAATAGCAAGAAGACTGAGCGGCATGAAAACAAATATATGTTTAGCATACACTTAAGTGCTTAAATCAGCCTAATACTACTACAGCAACAATAACAGCTATAAAATCAACAACACAGCCACCTGCCAAACTGGCAGCCATTAAATTATGTTGACAAGACTCGGCAGCTTGTTAAGCGAAATTCCCAACACGCTCATTCGTCAGGCAGTCAGTCAGCCATTTGGGTCGACAGGCGAACGAGTAACGCTTATAATGATAAATTAAATCGCATTTAATGCAAATACGAGAGTACTGTAATTTGTGTGTGAATGTGCGAAAGGGCGTGTGTGGAAAGCAAGACAGCTGTGTGGTCTAACTTCAACAGAACTGTGAACACATAACCATTGAATTGACGGAATGCCAATGCCGAAGCACGCTCGCTTATATATGCATGAAGCGACACTTGAAGACATGGTAAATATGTAAGAGAGATAAGAAAGGGAGGAACCTTTGCGTTTTGATTAGGTCGGATGGAGTGAGGGCGAGCCTTACAGAATGGTGTAAAGACAATTAAAATTGATATTTTTTAATCTCTGTTTTTTGGAATCACAAAATTGATGGAATAATTGTATGCAGTCATTATAACTCAAGACCTTCACTGCTATTTTCTAGGCACTTTCTTAAATTCACCGCAACCCATATAACAGTACACCAGAAAAGCAAAATACAATATCAACGCCGCTCTATGCGCTTTAATCTGTCACTTTAGGGGTTAAAAAGCTTTTACTTAAGTTGGCACGGCGGCAGAAAAGACGGCCCTCGCAATGCTTCAACTAACCTAACACGGACGAACTAAGCACAAGAGCAGAAGAACACGACCTACCCGAGATCCAATTAAAAATTTAATTGGCACGAGGAGAGACGAACTGTGCCGTTACATAGCAGGCAAAGAGGAGGTTATATGAATGTTACAGTGAGTGCGAGGTGGGGAGCATGAAGCAGCATAGCAGCAGTGGCGGAGAAGACAAGATACAAATGCATTAGAGAGCGTAACTGAAATGTAACCACAAGTTGTGTATATAAACTATACAACTTCAGGTATGATCATTGTTGGGTTTGTTGTTAATAAAATGTTAGTGACCCTTCTCATATTTATGAGTATATATGTATATGTATATATAATAAACAATAAATATATAAAGTAATTTGCTTTGGAGACTCACCACTTGCGTCCTGTTGCGGTCCTGCTGATTGTTGTTGCTGCTGCTGCTGGTGCTGGTGCTGATGTTGTGCTTGATGATGATGAATGTTGGGCGCGCAGAAGGCGCTCGCACCGCTGCCCGCTGTCATGGAGAGCGTGGAATGTGGCGGTGGCAGCAGGCCACTGGGCGCTGTTTGTTGATGTGGCGGCCCAGTTGGTGGCGCGTAGACGCTGGAGCGATAAGTTGGTGGTGGCGAGACCACATCACAGCGCACCGGTCCAACCACACTCGATGTGGGCGGTGGTGGTGGCGGCGGTCCGTAATGTGACGGTGGCGGTGGTTGATAGAGATGTGGTGGCGGTGGTGGCGGACCACCAGCTGTCGTTGGGGGCCCAGCATGCATGCCATGTTCACCGCCTACTTGTGGATATTGATGCGCGTGAGCATGTGCATATTGATGCTGATGATGTACATGCATGCCGGCCGCAGCGGCGGCGGCTGCAGCTGGCGACATGTGATGTGCATGATAAGCAGCAGCTGCAGCAGCGGCGGCGGCTGCATAAGAGGGCGGTGGCGGACCATGTTCAGGCGCACCATGCTCAGGATGTAGGCCCAAATCGCTGGCGTGATACATGCCAGCTCCACTGAGTGCTTCAGGTAGGGTGTTGCCGACCGCAGTGGGCGGAGGTGGTGGTGGCGGTGACACTTGCGCTGTGTGGAGCAGGTAAAGAAAAATTTAAATCAATATGAAATAAAATAACAAGGCCTTTATAACTTCTTACCGTCACTCATTGCGCCACCTGTTGAAGCACCTGGCGGCAACATGCTAGAGAGCGCGCTCAACGGCGTGTAAGATTTGGGTGGATCTACTGAACTAGGACGCAACACTCGCTCCTCGGTGACACTCGATTGCACACGATATTGCATTTTACAGTATGCCTCTTGACTTGAACCCGTTGTGGAGTTTACATACACACCCGTGATAGTGACGTCGGTATCCTGTACGATAACGACGCTGGATGAGGTCGGTCGACTGGAGTCTTTAGCGTCCTTTGTGCTGCCCGAATCGCGAAAACCGGCTGTGGTAGTTGTATCTGTATTTGTCTCTTTGGTTTCTTTTGAATATTTTGAGTCGTTGCTCTCTTCATTCAAATTCAACGGCCTCGACTCTCTGGCAGTACCGCTGGCATTAGACGCATTCGAGCTATTGGCTGTAGCCGTAATATTGGCAGTGACTTCTCCCGTATCTTTTGTATTCAAAGTCTCGTCGGATGTTACTGTGGCTGTGGGCGCTTTCTTGGAGTCCTTTGCCACATCCTTGGATTTTTTTGCTGGCGTGGAAGTTTTCTCCTCCCCATCGGTACTATCGTAGCTGCCATAGGCGAGATTTTTATCAAGATGACGTTCCACCTCGTAAGTGGCCGCAACTATGGCACTGGCATTCAAACTCGCCATGCGTTTGCGCGCCAATATGCCCTTGTAGTCGCCAATTAATTCCTCGCGTAACATGCGCTTGCGTTTCTTTGGCGGTTTTCGAGCTTCTAGTTTTGTAGTTGTTTTTTGCACCTTTGATTTATCTTTATCCTGGGCTTTGTCTTCGTTATCACTTACTTCGGTGTTTTCCCCACCATCAGAAGTATCGGTCTTCAATTTTACTATCTTCTTCAGTGGCTTCTTAATTTTTGTATACTTGCGCTTTACTCTGATAGTATCCTTTTCCTTGGGATTCTCTTTTTCTTTGTCTTTGTCTTCCCTGGCTTTGGAAATCTTGCTACTCGAGGCCTCTTCTTCTTTTCTTTCCTTCTCTCTCAATTTCTCAGCTTCCTTTTCCTTCTTGTTCGCCAACTTTTTCTGTAATTTCTTGCGTTTAAGTTTCATTTTGTCTATCTCCTCATCTTCAGTGTCACCACTTTCCTCGAATTCCCAATGCTTACCGAGTCCGCGGCCGCCTGGTACATGACGCAATTCTCGTTTTGGTTCCACCTCTTGTGGTTCATCTTCTGATTCAGCTTTCTGTGGCTCATCGGCTTTGCTACTTTCCTCGCTCTTTTTATCCTTCTTTGTTTTGCTTTTATCATCCGTCTCTTTTTCCTTATCCTTATCCTTCTCTTTGTCCTTCTCATCTTCACTTCCATCCACAGTGCGGATCTTGGGTGGAAGTTGTGTTGCTTTTGACAGACCCAGCTCATATGCCGTGCGTGATTCGTTCTCATAGAGGCACTGTACCTTGGCTAAGGCATTTAGTGAGGCCATGCGATGACGTTTAGGACCAAAGTCGATTAGTTTCTTTTCATCTTCCGAGTCACTGCTTGCCGAGGAGGAATCTTTTTGTACTTTACTGCTCTTCACTTTTGTTTTTTCCGTCTTTTGTAACATTTTTCCCTTAACTGTTTTTATAATTTTCTTTGTTATCAAGGGTTTCTTCTTGTAAACTTTCTTTGTTATCTTAGACTTGACTACCTTTTTCGTTTTAGGTGTAGTTTGAGCAACAGCTCTAGAATCATCTTCAGCTTTATGTGACGCGTCAGCTATTTTTTCATCTGTGTCCTCTTTTGCTTTTTCTTCAGTTTGAGAATTTTCCATTGACTTTTTAATTTCTTCCGGCACTGGTTCTGGCAACTGTTCTTCTTTTAGTGCGTCCTCGACTTTTGTTTCCTTTTCATCAATATCCAATGAGGTTTCTTTGCTCTTGAGACTGTCTTTAGTGGATTTGGTTTTGTGTTCCTCATCTGCGAATTCGCGTAGATTTTTCAATGTAGGAAGATCCATTTTAATGTTATCCTCCTCTTCAGAACCGGAACGAAAGTCATAGATATCATTGGCAGCAGATCTGTTTGATTTATCAACTGTCAACTTTTGCGCAAATTTCGATTTCTTACCCGCCATCTTGGCAGTGGGGCTAGACTTCACTGGCGGCACTTTGTACTTGCTTTGTAATCTGTGCTTAATATTTGACATTTGCTTCTTTCCAATATGTGGTGAGCACGGGGCAGAGCTCCCCGCTTTTTCAGAGATTTCTTCCTGTTTCAGTGGTTCCTGCTTCACAATCTGTGCGTCAGCTTCTTGCGGCTTAACATCTAGTTCCTCCTTTTTGTGCTCCACTTCTTTGGGAGCGCTTGCACAAACCGGCATTTCTTCTATATCCATTTGCACTACCTCTGTATTAGCATCTAATACTATTCTTAATGTTTCTTCTTTCTCTATTAGCTCTAAAGGTTCTACAACTGTCTTCTCAGGTTCCTGTATATTGCACTTGTCTGGATTCTTTGGATTCGTCTTTATTTTTTTCGGCGATGGCGTCTTTTTAGGAGTTTTTTCAGCCTTTATTTCTCCGCTCTCTTTGTCCGGTGGATCAGGGGGTTCTACAGCCTTACAACCTTGTGGTTCTGACTTCTCTTCTGTTGGCATGCTGGTTCCGGCGTTTTCATCCAAGACCTCCTCAGTAGATTTCTTTACAGGTTTGGCCTTAAGTAGTCTCTTCTTTAACGGTGTCCCAACTATGGCATCATTTCTAGAATTGCCACTTTGTTTCTGTGCTTTAGACTCATCATCATTTGATTTTTGAGTAGGCGCTTTTTTGCTTTTTTGATTGGCGTCTGTCTTATTGGCACGCTTGGCCGTTATCTTTTTTTTCGGTGCCATTTTGACAGTAGGATTTTTATCCGTTTCACTGGGAGCCGCTTGAGATTCGCTGTTCTTCGTAGTATCTTCTTTGACAGAGTCTAATGTATGCTTATTCGATTTTAGCGTTTGATCATGGGTGGTAGGAGATTCTTCTATGTTTACGTTTGAGATTTCCTCACGAACTTCTGCGGCTTCAATTATTTTTTCTGTTTCTTTGCACTTTGAATGGTTTTCTTCCGCTTTTTCCTTTTCTTTCTCTTTACTCTTGTCTTTCCCCTTTTCTTTATATTTATCTTTATCCTTCTCCTTATCTTTGTCTTTATCCTTTTCCTTTTCTTTAGCCTTCTCCTTTTTATCTTCCTCCTGTCGAGCTTTAATACGCGCTATGTTCGATTTTGGCGGATTTAAGTTAGCTATCACTTTAACCGCAGCTGCACGCGACTTCGTTTTCACGTTCTCTGATATCGAAGACTTTAGCGTATCTTGTATGCGTTCCTCGCTTGGCAGTATATTATCGAAACCGCTTATTTGTATATCAAGACTCTTGAGCATTTTACTTATTGCTTTGTTTTTCCCATCTTTGCGATCCTCCACCTTGCTTTTGTTGCTATTGGCGGAAGTGGCGGATGTGCTTGGTGGTTCTGAATCAGCCTTTTGCTTCTCCGACTCCACCTTTTTGTTTGTGGTGTAGGAAGACTTTTCTTTCGTCTCGGAAGTGTTCGATTTTTTCACATTCTCTCGAGAGGGCGTACGCTTCGCAGACTTTATTGAATGCTCAACATTTCTAGCTGAATCTTCAGGTTGTTCGAGCTTAATTTTCAGTTGATCCTTTGCTAAGCTTTCTTCGGCACCTTCAACGTTGCTAATATCTTTGACCACTTCGCCTTGATTCGTGTCAAGATTTTCGGACACTTTGCTTTCAATTTCCGTTTTCTCTAACTTATTATCTTTCTCGGCCTCCTTAACTTTTTCGTGCTCTTTACTGACCACTGTTTGCTGTTTCTTGGCTGGGGACGGCGTCCGACCGTGCGTACTACGCTTCACCGTCGTCGTGTTGCTGACAACGGCAATCGGTTTACGCGCCACTGGCGAACTGTGTGCTTTGCCCGGTGTAGGACGTTTTTTCGCCGATGCGACTGGATTGCTCGACGAGCGTTGCTGACGCTCTGTGGTAGTGGCGCCAGCGGCGGCGGCAGCTGCTGTTATGAGACGCTTTTTAGGTCCCATTCCCCTATAAAAAAAAGTAAAGTTCTATTAAAAAGCGCACACAATACAAGAATTACATATACGCCGACAATTAGAATACATTCATTAAACCCCTTGCTAAAAGCTTAGTTTTGAGGCGCTCAAATGCTCAATTGAATAGCGGGTTAAGCACTCGCACGTGCTAAACACGAAGCGAAAATAAAGAACGCGATAATAGAGCAGAGGAGGGAAAATATATCTATAACACCACTTAACGGCGTTTCGTAAACTAGAAGTCCTTTTTCAACTACACACCAACTTAGATTTGTGCTTTCAGATTCCATTTTTACGTCCACTTCGCCTCTATCAGCGCCGCCATGGCACATTTCTGTCGGTAATTGTCTGCTCAACACTACGCCGATTCGTTAACCTAACGAACGCTTAGTGAATTAAATCCCTACAAGCCAAAAACAACAGCAACAATAGCCATTACAGCTATAAAAAGCCCCACGTCGTAAAGGATTGTCAAGCAAAGCGTATTCATGAGCAGACTTCTAATGCTAGCAGTGCGCCCCGAAAGGATGCAAAACTATATGGGATCCATAAAAAATAAGTGATGGCAGCAAATCAGCATATGTCAATACTTGAGCGCGGCGACAGCGCATACAAGAGTTTTACAAATGCAACGTTGCATGCAAAATGAAGCAGCGCATTGGTGTGCTGCCGGTACGGATAATGAATGTTGAGTAGCGTGAAAAAATAGCGTAAAAAGTAGCGTAAAAAGTACGCAGAACTGGAGCACGGAGAATGAGGCGGCGTTAGAACATGTGCTTGCCACAGCGGAAGCATGGCGGCAGATGTAGAGGCGCCAGCCGCCTACACGGCACTACATGCAATACACGTCAACAACAATGTACACGAAGTCGCGCTGCCCTAGTAGTTTGGGGGTTTGGTGGTTGGCGGCTTGAGTTGAGTCCATAAACTGTCGACCGTGTAACCACAAGTGACATGTGAGTACGCCACACAAGCAAGCACACTTTGAAACCTAGGCAGTTGCGCGCACATACTCACAGCTCGCACACGAAGCACGGCCGCTCGCCTATCTACTGTCTGCCGGCTGTTGGTGACATGTTTCGCGCACTTAATCCACTTGTTAGACGGATTTGGAGCTTGCCTGCCGTTTGCTTGCGCCGCACGCGTCTACAACTCGCGCCAGTTGCTGTGTTATAAGTACTGTTTCACCCACTTTTTACCGCAACTTGCAACGTTTCATTATTAGGATTTTTTCTTGCTCAGCGCGCATCCTGTGTAGTTTGGCTCGTTGGCTGTTTGTCGAGCGCTTGAGTTTTTGAGTATTTGAAAGCCAACACCAAGCGCGCAGGCAACCCTCACGCCAGTCGTACAGAGACAATGCCTGCTTTATGAGCTCACAATGAGGACACAAGCACTTGTGGGCAAGTGTATGCCATGTAGTGCTCAACTTTCTGCCTTGTGGCTGCTATTCACCATAACAGCCGAAGTCAGTTAGTTAGTTTTAGTCGCTGCACAAAACCTCGGGAATTAGTTGCAAGGATTTTGAAGAATTTGCGTTGCATTGTGTTGTGTGTTGAGTGCGTTGTTAATTGAAAGGCTTTGTAAATATTTGTATGGTAGCATTATGCGCTCAGCAAAGTAATATTAATATGGGGCCGGAAAGAGTTCACATTATGTTGAAAATTGGGTTAAAGGTGGGCAAAGCTCATTTGGGTGGCCTCCACCATTTAGCCGAGGGAAATCACAATTTATTTTTAATTGTTACCTAACAGCTCACCCTTGGGTCCAACAAGTTTATGTGTGGTCTGTGATCGGCTAAGTTCTAAGTTTCAATATGCACGAACACTGAATACACACGCAAAGCTTTTCCCCATTATATTTGGAGGCTTATCCAAAGCTGAGATAAATGTTGACAAGTTTCCGCAAGCTTGAAATCAGCAATCCATACTGAATGCTTTATGGCGACGCTTACTAGTATAATTTAATCTATTGTTAAACATTTGTTCAACAATCCCATAACCTGTAGCCAATTGAGTTCAGATGCCTTTATACTCCCTAAGTTCTTAGTATGTTCATGGGACTTCGCAATATCTATCATGTATCATATAAAATTTTGTATATGAAATGATGAAGTATACTTTCTTACAAAGTTAGAGGCGAGCTGAACCACCTACGATTGTCAGTCGGCTAACAGAAGGATAATGAAAGCCATCGGTTAACTATACAGGGAAGATCTCTTCAACGGGTTCACTGATCAGTGCGGAATTTCAATAGTTCAAGAGCTTATCAAAGAATTTTCGGGTCAAGGAAATATACTTTTTTGTACCCAAATCTAATTTTGAAGCTTGTGATTCCATTTCACCTTCTAAGGACTTTACTGGTACCAGAAAATTTACTTCTATGAATACAAATCAAATTTGGGTGCTTGTGGTTCCATTTCACCACATCGAAATAAGCTTGAGCCAACAATCGCAGCTCCGGAAGTCTTTTGTAAATTAATTTCCTCAAAAATAACATAACTAAGCCTGTTTTCTTACACTCCTTTGTCCACTTCACAATTTAAGCACAACAATAAAAAGCATAAATGCTAACTGAAAATGGAAAATGGAAAAAATATAAAATGTCGCTTCGTTAACAATTCAGAAAGCTATTTCGCGCCTTTTTTCGCGCACAAAACTGCGATCGCACACATATACACGCAGATATGGCCGATGAAAAACGCGCACAGCCCAGAACTTCCAGCACAAAATAATAACAAAAACAACTGTGTGCCACAACAAGATCTAACGCCTGCAAGTATGCCATGAAAAGCAGTACGCGTGTTGTTGCATGCTAAAGTGTGCAGCGCGAACAGAAACGGATGGAGAGGCAGCAACGCGCCATACATGCGTCCCAAGCACGAAAAAGCCAACACCAGTGCAAACAAAAAGGAAACAGAAACGAAAATAAATGAATGCAGTGCAACACGGCCGACGCTTGCATGGACAGCAACAAACAAGCGATTGCACAACAACTACTACAATGCATATGGTAAGCGGTGCGCACATGTTAACTGCATACATACATACATGCATATAACTGGTGTAAGTGGCGGCATGTATTTGTCACGCATTGCGTTGCCGGTGTTTGTTTGTGTATTCGCGCTTGTTTGTGTATTTGCTTGTTGGTGGCAGGCAAATAACAAATAAACCCAACAAAACCGTTAGCTTGCGCGTTTGCATATGCGTGCGTATAGTATGTATGTATTTGTTTGTACGCGTCTTATATAACGGTAGTGCGTATGATAACTTATGCTTGTATTTATAAGTTTAACTGTTTGTGCATGCGGTCGTGCATCCGCCGACGCTTCCGCACAACCCAAGAGCACTGTGCTCTCCGGTTCGTTGGCTGAACAAGAGTCCCAACACGCACGCCGTTCCACAACCATCAAGAAATACGCTGGTTGCCTACGCTCCCCTTACAAAAGCAACAAATAACTAGCTGATTGTCAAGCCACTTGTCCGCCCGCGCGCTCAAGCTCTTCAACATTTCTGCTTACACACAGCAACCGCCATCCCTTCAACTGGCATTTTTTCCACTTTTTCACGAGTATGTAAGCAGTTAAGTACAGAGCATTTTCAACGCTCTGCGGATGCTCAGTGTCAGACGTCGCACAACGCCACAGGAAATCCACACTCACTTGTATACTCAACTCGGAGGCGCTCTGCTGTCGCTCGAGGCGCTAGGAAGGATGCGAGCCTCTGCGCGACATACGTCATATGTTGCTGACAGCGAAAGCTGTAACAAAAACAACAAATGCGTGTAATATTCCCTCACACCTCGACTATGAATTATGATTACGCCCGCACACTTGAGCAGGGTCTATGGCAGTAATGACAGGCTCAACGCTGAACAAAGAGTTAAGTGTTGAGGGAGTTGAGCAGGAATAGGCGGTGGGTGTTGACGCTTCCAAGTAGTAGGTAGACAGGAAATCGGTTGGCAACGCCAGCGTTTATTAACGCTTCTCTTTCCTCTGCAACTTTCTTGCACGTAATTACACCTGACATCTCTGCAGGCGTTGACAGCTATGTCATCCTGGACCCCTTGGAGGAATGGTGTGAGTATAGGTCCAAATTTTATTTAGACTTTCACATCAGGTTTACAGTGAAAAAGTGAGGTTAAAATGTGTCGCTGATGAATATGACAAAAGAAATTCATTTCTACGAGAATAGGAAAGATCAGGTGGTATAAACTGATAAAATTGTGAGGAGTGACCAAATACAGTTAGATCATTAGGTAACCAGGGCACACCAAATTCGTGAATTCTTTTTATCTAGTTCTTCGAGTTGTGAGGACCATGCTAAATTTCATGACGAAGCTTCATCTAATTAAACGAATATTTTTGATCAACATACAACTTACATTCATACTTGTAAGCATGTATTTTGACAAGCCTGTTTCTTCTATATCGATTTCAAACAAGTTGGAAAACTTCAAGACATCTACCATATCGAAGAAAGCGTACTTGGCTTTATATATTTTGCCCAAATTTATAGAAATACTTCGTAACAGTTCCCACAACAGTCGGGCCTTAGTAACGGGAGATTCTACAAAGAAGTAATAGAAAATAGTAGTAGTTAACTCTTTGTGACTCAAGTCAAGTAGTTGAGATGTTAGAATCGTATATTTGTTGTCCGAAACCCTAAATACCGCAACCTCTAGTGGCTAATAAAAGGTTCAGAGCAGAGATTTTGCACTGTTTTCTTTCCACTAAATCTCTAAAAATTCATTATTTATTCAAAACTAATTTTCGGGAGCTGCTTACTCACTGGAGAAATATTTATTTATGCTTGAATTTTCAGAAGAACCTGCGAAATTCAGTGTTGATTTATCTTGTCTAAAATGTCAGGAGCAAAGTCAGATATTGTCTACACAGAAAAGCAATTTACTTAAATAACGAAAAAGCAAACAAAACAGAAATCTAATTGCAGTAAATTGGAGCACTGTAGGTCTGATACTTCAATGAAGAGCATTTGGACGGCAGCGGAGAGTAAGCGAAGGTTTGTTTACATTTGTAGCTTGCTCTTAGCAAGGTATGCATATGCTTTTTTTGTATATTTTAGATAGCAATATATTGACTTTGGAAAACTTAACCAAAAATAATTTTGTTATTTAAAATTTTAAAATTTTTTGCGGTAGTCGAAAAAGTCCTTTCGTATTTTGTCAATAGATGGTCGACCGAAATAGTACATATTTGCTTATTTATTTCTTATTATTATAAATATAAAAAATAAGTTGAAGTTTGATTAGGAATACGAAAAGACTTTTTCGACTATCCATACGTGATTTGAATTTTTTTACATTTTTTGTTAACACAAAAACTTTTTTCAATTTCAAAAAGATTAAAGATTTCTTTCAGTTACCTCATTCACACAAAATGCATATTTACGCTGCCAAAAAACTTCGACAAAGCAACTCCACAAAACGCATTTCAAATAAAAAATAAACAAAAAGTAAATAAATAAAACACAAATAAAAGCGGCCAGACAGCGTAGCGCGATAACACAGCGCTGGCGGCTACAAACTACGAGTGCTCCATTAAGCATCGACAACCACACTAACAACACGTTGGCAGCCAAGAGTTCAAAAACAAAGCGCCGTAGTCAGAAACCCCTTCACTTGAGCGCGACAAGAATTCGGAACGACCTTGCGTTGCTGTTTGCTTTTCAATTAAAAAATCACCGCGAGTAAATAACTTACTTGGATTTAATATTTCCTTACAACACATTTGTTATTATTTGCTTCATCTATCTTTTTGGAGTTCGCTCCTGCAACACTACAGCCAAACAGACAGCAGTTGTAATTTTGGGTTTTTTGTTTCTTTACTGTTGTTGTTGCTATCACTTTTCGGTTTTCCGTGCTCATTATCGTTAAATTATGTGAAGAGATAATGAAGTTAAGTAGTAAATCGAAAATCAACACACGCGATCCACCTGTAAACAACGTAACAAACATGCAAACCAAATAGAGAAATAACAAAAACAACAGCAATGCTTGTATCGGAGAAAACAAATGTAGCGTTTTGTTGTGATTGGAAATTGTTGAGCGTGGAAGTAGGTGGGCGCGATTGGCGCCTAAATTGTTTTGATTGCTGGGTGGGCAATCGAATCAGTGATGTATACGCGATATACAAATAAATATTAGATGAATAAAAAAAGGAAAAAATATGTGTGGTCCACGTTTCTAGATAGTTGTGATGCGAAATGCCAATAGCGTAATAATTTTTTTATACAAATAATTGGGGCAGAAGTAGATATTCCAGATCAGGAGTAACGCTAGAGCTTTTAAACACGGTTTTATTGACTTCCGAATTATATAGAGACGAGCATAGTTTCAAAAGAGTTTTACAAAACCTCATAGGAAAACTCAAACTGATTAGGTCGCTGAACGTACTCTGTAGCTTGATATTCGGAAAATTTTGAGAAATACATTCAAATAATATTGAGAAGAAGGAGCTGTGCAGCAAGATCTCCTAAGATATTTTGCAATTTAAACCAGAAAGAAACTCAAAACCCTAAAATTAACTGGTCAATTGAAAAGCACCCGGCCTGACACCTAGATGACTACTAGAATGGCATCAAGGAGTGGTATGCCATTTTAGACGTGCTGAAATAAGCACCGAAGACCGTGAACGCAGTGGACGCCCAAGGTTGTTACCAACAAAAAACATCAAAAAGTCTAAAAAATTATTTTGGACGACCTTGTACATCTGTCTATAGCATATATGTATGTATAGCAGACACTACATATATATCAATTGAACGTGTATGTCATATTATTCACAAATGTTTGTGTGTAATATAGCTCTGTGCCACTTTTGACCAAAAGCAACGACGAGTTGACGATTCGGAGAAGTGTTTAGAGATATTCAAGAGTAATAAATCAAGTTTAAGCTTCGATTTGTAAGAATGGATAAAACATGACTCCTTTGTTTCCCTCCGAAGTCCAGTCGCTAGTCATCCAAGTGAACTAAACAGGTCCAAAGCGTGGAAAAATGCAACAATCGGTTGGTGAATGGAATCATTTTCATTGACTGTATAAAAAAGGAAAGGACTTTCAACAGCGACTATTACATAGCATTATTGAAAAGTGTGAATTTAAGAAAAAAAAATGTGTTATTTCACCAAGTCAATGACACCAAGAATTGGACTTCGAATTGCAGATCTGGTCCCCACCGACTATTTACTGTCCTCAGTCTCAAAAGAATGGCCGCTGGGAAGAAAGGAACTGTGTTCAATAAACAATGAATTTTGCCAAAAAAAATGTCTATTGCTATGGTAGACTTTTTGATTGACCTGTTACTTTTCATCGCCCAGGAGTTGCTGAGCTACAACAGCCTCCCTCTTCGCTCTCTCAAACACGGAGCTTATGATGGAGTAAGGAAAAATGGACCAAGGTTAAAGTCTTCTCAACACTGGATTCACAGCAACATTGCAGAGGTTATAGACGTCGAAAAGAAAACTCAGTTCATTCCGAGAAAACAAAAAGGTCAAATTGGAACCAACCCTCCCTTCTTCTGTTGTATAGCTACAGGTAAATACATTTGTATTTTGATAATAACTCCAATTAAAAGCTAAATTTGAGCTCGACGTAGCAGAGCTCCAATATCTGAAGACATTCGTCGGATCCTTGCCATGAAACTAAACAAACTAGCTTCAGTGCAACAAAATTTACCGTTTTTTTCTTTTTTTTTTTGAAATGTGTATGTCTACTTACTTTTGCACGTGCAAACGCTGATCGATGCTTGTTCTGCACTATCCAACTGACATTTGTTGGTGCGGGAAAATTCAAACTAAAGATTGAAGCCGACGTATTCCAATTTGACACTTTTGCTGATCAGCGGTAGAGAAACCGATAATTTTGGTGACAACCAAATGATGGATTTGCATTTTAGGTTTATGAGTTAGCGAACAGTATAGTGTGACACATACCAATTGGCAACACTTTGTTTTTTGACATTTTCAAATTGAATTTTTACATTTTTGCAACTTTTAAGAATCTCACACACACGGACATAAAATTGAAGTGTTTAGTATTTTTGAACCTGTAAAGATGTAAAGGTGGGAGAATTTTTTTAATTTATTAATTATTTATTAGAAAAATTGGTATTTCTAATGCAGAACTTTTTAAATTTATTTATTTGTATATTTTATTATTTTTGCACTTCACACACATTTTCATTCACAAATAGTCGCATTTTTATGTAAATATATGCGTATCAATTCTAATTTTACGCTTGACATTCACATTGACACTCATTTACTGCTGAGAGCAGTCACTGTCACTGTCATTTCACTATTTCCAGCACTTTGTCGGCTGAGATTACGGTGAATTATTAATTAAGCGGCTTTCAATTAAAATATACAACAAATTCAATTAAAATTTCTACTACACTTTTTTATTATTCATGGAAAGTCAATTAATGGACGTAATCGAGTTGCGCGTGAAGCCAACATATACGCACACACACACATAAATACAAACACACATGCGCAGCGCGCACACTCCCAAACTTGGCTTCTTATTGGAATGTACCTACAAACATATGATAAAATAAAAATACGCAAGTTGGCAATGCTGCAACGTAAATAAACAAATGAAGATGCACACACAGAGAGCGAGCGCGCGTTGCTGGCAGCGGAAGAGCGGCAATGTCGTATATTTCCTGTCGAGAGTCAAACACATACACCGTGCAGTGCATTAGTGTGCGTGCGCATGTGAGCGCGCCTCTTAAATATAAACGTCAAATAGCATTTTTGACAGTTCCGTGACAGCTATAGTGGCACTCTACCAACTAAAGTGACAGCGCTGATGTTGCGTTGCGAACAGCTGAGAAAACGCTTTTTTTCTTAAAGTGATTGGGCAGCATTGTCACTTATAGCTGCCTTGCTGCCGTGCGCCCACCCACCCTTTTTGCAACAACGACACACACAGATACTGCAAGTGAGCATGCACTCACGCACACAAGCAAACGCTGGCGCTTACTCGCTCTTTCTCTGCACTCACTTTAAATTTGTAATGCTTGCGCTCTCCGCAGTCATTATTTGGCACTGTGTTGAAAGTTATTTTTTTTTTCTTTTTGCGTTCAAATAAGAAAACTTGTAGATACACAGAAGCGCTGATACACGAAAATGTTGACGAAGCTGCTGTAGCAGTACGTAGGGAATTTGTAATAAAAGGCAAAAAACTACACGAAAAGTGTATGAAGCATGGAAATAACATTAGACACATAAAATAACACAATTTCTGTTTTTTTTTGTATTTTTTGCTTTTTTTCATCACTACAAGTAGTTGGAATGCCTGGAGCGTTGTTTTATATGCATGTGTGTATGTGTCTACGCTGCTTGCACTCTCGTCGCTTATGCCTTGCTATGGTACGTACTGTAAGCGTTTGGCAGCGACTCATTAAAAAGTGGGCGCGTTTACTACATTTCACTCAAACTATAGAATGTAATATTTTTGTTTAATATACTTTACAGTTGCCTGTTTTAAAAATCATGTAAATACTGGAGAGTGAAATTTACGGATTTTTAATACATTTGCTAGATTCAATAAGGTGAACGTTGCCTGTTGTAAGTGTTGCTTTAATTTTTTTTTTTTTATATTTGAGTTGATTTAGTTCCGTCGTCCGTAGACCCTCAGTTTTCGAGTTAACACCCCAGGAAGCCGTACATTAGTCGGTACCGTCGATATCAAACCAAAGCAGAAAGCTGCGACATAAACTGAACTAAACTCTTGTATAAAAAACCTTTTAATGTCACGAGCTATCCTCACGAAATTTTTTATGGATCATTGTCAAAGAAAACGCTAAATTATACGAATATATACCGATTGGCCCAGTATATTTTATAACTGTCATGCAAACTGAACCATCAATATCAGATATGAAACCTCCATTATTTGTAAAGGGTTATTCTAGCTTCAAAGCAATTGAAGTTAACGCTTTTTCTTGTTTTTATAAGCAATTTTCCTTTAGTCGCCTTTTTGTCAACCATTCAGTCATTGAGTCAGTCAAAATAAGTCAGTAAGTCAGCCAATCATCCAGTCACTTTAGCCGCTTCTACAGCACGTCTGCTTTTATTTCATTTATTCTTCTTTTTACATATGTACATACACACATTTATTTATTTTTTGTTGCATGCCAAGCACCAGCGGGAGCGTTTATTGTATGTATGCATTAGCTTAACCAGTATGTAAATATGTATGTAAGCCTTTTAATGCTTATACACACTCACATAACAACATAATTTTATACGCGCTGTGTCGCTTGCACGTATATAAATAAATATGTGTATACATATGTATGTAGGAGTGTGTGTGCACTGTGCATTATGGGCGCACATTTCGTTTATACAACTGTATATACATAAAACACTTTATAGCGCACCGCATCACGTGTGTGCGTGTGTCGGTGTATGTAAATATGCTTATGCCTCTGCCTGTGTGTGTGTGTGTGTGTTGGTGAGTCCAGCGCTCGCAACGCATACTGCGATTCCCACTCGTTCGTTCGTCCCACCACCCGTCGTACACGACATACTTTGTACGGCATAGCGCTTTTTTACACGCTCCCCTCCATGCCGCATACGTTTGTCGTGCGCTTAACTGGAAGTTTTCCACATTGACTTCTTCACTTTTTCACTGCTCTATGGTATTTACACTTTTTCACACAGATTTTCACTACTTTGTTGCTTTTACCAACGCTTTTGCACGCGCACAACATTCTCACATAAACTTTTAACTTATTTTTCAATAAATTAAACGTATACTCGTATATTTGCTGGCACCGAAATCTTTTTTCCAACTTGACCGCACGCTTTGTCTCACTACACTACTCGCTGCTGCTGCTGTCTACTATTGCTGTCCAGTCATCGCGCACTCTTTTGCAGTCCATCACTTGCACACTCGCACTTTGCAATTCACTAATTTTCCACTTCATTTCCATGCAGCAATCTTGCATTTCGCTTATTAATGAATTTTACGCGATTTTTGACACATCACTCAACAAAATGAAGGATAAGTACCGTTTTTCGTGTGTTCTCCTACAAGCTGTTGCAGCCGCACTGTGTGCACACACAACACAACTCCCGCCTAAGGTGGGTGGGCAAGCTAGCTAGCTTGATTGTCTATTCGGTTAGTTGCAACCGCGGGGAGTGTGGCGGTGCCGTTTGAGAGGGGGATTCGAAAATTCCAACCGTGCGGACACAACATAACAACGAGATTTTCAATTTAATACTGAATTTTGTTTGCATGCCAAACGTGCGAGCGCACCAAAAACCTACGAATGAAGATGCGTGCAGAGAGTCAATTGCCACACACACACACACACACACACATGCATATATGCACGCATGGCAAATGCAATGCCGCTCGCTCTCCGTCCGAATTGAAGTGCGCTCTTTGTTGTGTTTTGTATGTGAGTGTATGCTTAAAATTGTGGTTGATTGGTATTCAACGGACTTTTGACTGATATTTTAAGCTGACTTTTGCGCTGCATTGGCAGCACTGGTCGTAAAATAAAGTGGAAGTGAAGAAGCGACGGTCAAAGTTGAGTTATATTTAAAATTCAGTTCGAATTGACTAAATTATATAAAATTGCTAAATATTTCATAAAAGTGTAGTGATATATTATAAATATTATAGAAATAAGAGCACGTATCTCTCAAAAGCAACTAAGAGCACTTTAAACCCCGTAATTATCAAAGTTTGCGACTTTACTATCAGCAGCTTGCTAGTTCAATAGGTGAGTGCCAGAACTTTGACTTCCGTGAAGTCTGCCTATCTCCTGAACCTTTTTCGCTTCTTAACTACAAACAGCCCAAAACTCCCCGGTACTAAATCTATAGCGAACGTATGTATATACCTACTGGACGAAGCCATGCAGACTTTACCGACATTGTTGTTGACGCTAAAACTCCAACATTGAAGAAAGTCACAACTTTGGAGGATACTGGTAGTCCATACTCCTTCACTATGCATACGCCCGCGACCATTATCAAATACAGAGCTGTTAGGAGAAACTTAAGGCGACCCCTATAGTAAGGACAAATAAACGTTGCTCGCCACTTACAAGGCAGATCTAATATTCGCCTGGACAAGACAAAACCCCTCACCCCTGACCTGGTTTAAACGACATTGCACTGTTAGGAAAATAAATATTACTTTTATTAATTCAACATAAGGCAATATTAATTATTATTTATTAATTCAACACATTTTTAACTAAATAATATAATTATATCAATATTTAAGCATTCATTCATAGTAACATTTCAAATTCGAGCTTCAAAATTAAATTCAGAGATTTCAAAGTGAAGACAAAACTTCAGTGGGTGCATATATAAAGCCAATGGATTTTAAAGCGTTATGGTATCGTGCTTGAGCTGTAGTACTGATTCACATTAATCAAGGCAATCAGTTGTCCAATCTCCTCCTGATAACCGTGACGCACAATCTTGGTGCCCAGGTATATGGTGAACTTAATGACTTTGTCGAACTCTTGCTCGTCATTGGACAGCTTATCATAGCGTGAATGTGTGTAGTGTTCATCGCCGCTGCGCTGCTTGAACTCGCGCGACTTAAGGTTGCTGTGGTAAATAAATTTACTAAACATGCAATAACAATTACCAAATACAGCATTATCAACTCACTTGTAGAAACGCAATGATATCTTGAATATATTTTCAATGGTGTTGTTGAACTCCGCGCTGTGTCGATTTAGCATGCAAAGGAAGTTTATGCGCTTCACATAGGTTGTGTGCTTACGGTAAATATCTTCAATGGATTTGGCCTGCAGCAGATCGTCTTTGAATGTCTTCCAGGAGGCTTGCAGCGCATTGGCAGTGATGTGATTTTGCAACGCATGCACGAAATGATAGAATTTGTGGCGTATCAGCTGCACATGACGATATTGTGGCGACTGTAGCAGTTGTTTGCCGTGCTTTTTCAACGCCTCCTTGAGTATTTGATAGGCACGCTCCAGCACCCAACTGATGCGACGAACTTTGAGCAGATATTTGAAAATGTTGCCGTACTGTTCCAGTGTTTCAGGATTGAGTATGAGATTCAGTGGCCACTCGATGCGATAGCTGAGACTAAGCACATTCAGCACACCCGGATTGGCGAGGTCGAATTTCTGCGGAACATCGTTTATGGTGAAGGAGAGATTTTCAGCGTTTTTGTCATTGCCTGTGAAGTTGAGGGTTTTATTTTGTAGTTTTGTTCATGTAATGGTTTTCTAATCCCCATTTTGGGTGATAAGGTTCAGTCTAGTTGTCATCGATGTAATCTAACGGGAGGCTCAGGAAACGTGCTTTTCGACGGGGTCGGACCATAGGGATAGGGGTGTTTGATAAGTGGGATTTATTGGGCTTGCAAAGAGGTGGTTAGACTCGCTGCACGCAAGGTATATATTTGGTATATCGTGGAAATTCTGGATAAACCGCTACAATAAATCTGCAAAAGCATTCCCGTAGAAATTGTTTGGAGAGGAGGGCATTGCATGCCTATGTAGGTGTTCAACGCGAGATATCAGAAGGCACCCTATTATCACTCGGAGTTAGTGTTCTGGCCGTTCCGAAGCTTCTTCGTCGAAGCGTTTCACTACTTCCAGGGACCATATCGATACTGCTAAGTTAATAAACGTTCACTTACCTGTTATGCTTGAGCTGAGCGCTGTGTCGAGTATCGAATGCAGCATCTGATAGTTAAGTAGTTTTGTTGGGGTTGCGCCACTCTCCAATTTGCCGATAATGCCATCACAAATTATGGAGCCGAACTCGCCGTCCATGAGAAAAAAGTAATGCCTTAAGCTACGCAGATGATCCAAGATATGCAACTCTTCGAGAAATAGACGCATTACTTCATTATTCACCAAGCCGAGATGCGTGGTCATCGGCAAAATAACGGATTTTTGCAGAAATTCCGTCAACGTAATGACACTCATGCTGTTTACTTTCAATTGCTGCAACGATTCACGCGACTTCTTGGCCGCCACGATCATTGGCGTCTTGCTCATATTCAAGCGAATATAAGGACTGCGTGTCGCGCAGGTAAAATTACTTTCTAGCAACTCCCTGCTACGTTTGTAGGGATCATTATAGTCTTGTGCTGGAATAGCTACTTCCTCCGTTTCGTCAGCGCTGGAGGAGTTGGACATGGAGTCCGGCTGCATAGCCGCCTCTACGGCGACTGCCTGTTGATGTTTTTTTACACGAGCGGTGTCTACAAAATCAAATCCCTGTTTTGCCTGTAAGCCGGCAGTATTCAATGCGCAATCTGGCGTCAGCGTTGCTTCCTGTGTCACCGCAGTTTGGCAACTGAGCAGCCCATCCACAGCAGTCGCGCTTTCTGCTACATGTTGTTGTTGCTCATTGGCGAGTTCCACATTGATTTTTAAAGCAGACTTCGACGACACATTGCCATTAGCTAAATCACTTTGCTTCGTTGCAGCAGACGGTAAGTCGGTAGCACAATCTGTGACCGGTGTATCCGAGGTGGTGGACATAGGCGTTGTACCCTGCTCTATGGTAAATGTAACAGTAGAAGGCGTAAGCCCGGTTAGTATGTCAAATTCGCTTTCGAGCACACGTCGACGATTGCGTGCGCGCTCTGTGTCTAAGTTGAGGTTAAGCTGTGCACGATCGGGAAGCGGACTCTTATTGTACGCGGCAAATAGATCGTTTTGCATCATACGTCGACGATTGCGCTGCAAATCTGTCAACTCGTCCTCTGGCAGGGTATTTAAGTTGATGTCTGGCTCAGTTGTTTGTTGAGCGTTTGTGCTGTATGTGCCGAATTCGTGGGCGAGAACGCGTAGCTTATTGCGTTGTGCCTCAGAAAGAGCTAGAATCGGGTTAGAAACAACTTAGTTATGAAAATGTGTCAAAAATCAATATAACCTACATTTCTGAGTTGCTACAGTCGCAGGTTCCATGGTGACTGTGGTACTGCTAATATTTGATGTCAATGGCTCAGTGGTTGGACCAATTATCACCGTTGTGTTGCTGGGATTTTGCGTTACACCAGCAGTGGCCAACTCATTTGAATTGATCACATCGGAGGCGCTGCGCTTTAAAAATGTGCTTTTGGATGGATTTGCCAATGAAGTTGATGTTTGGGACGCGGTATGTAAGCTCGTCTCCGAGGTAGCTACTTGGCATGCCACCAACGTAACCAATGTCTTATCTGCGTCGGTGTCTCCAACACATTTAGCCGACGGCTCAATACAAATCGCCTGCAGCTCGTTTTCATTTTCTGCGAATTTTTGCACGAATTCCTCCGACAAGCATTCCGCATACAATGAAGCTGAATCGGCATCGCCATCTTTCGTTTCTTCGCCGCAGCACGATTCAAAATCAGTATCTGTGCCGCCACTGCCAGGCGTCTGTGGTGCCGCCGCGCTGCTCTCGCCACTGCCTTCACTCCGCGTATTCAATTTCGACAATTGCGCGAGTTCGGCTTGTGGCTCGATTAATACTGTAGGTTGATTGGCGCTCAATTTATCGCCCGCATCGGTGCGCATCATATCGCTTAGCTCCTGATAATACTCGATACGTTTGCGCAAATTGATATTTTCACGCAACAGACGCTGCTCCTCCAGTTTCTCAGTTTCACGCAGCAAGCGCAACTCTAGCTCGACATTGGCGCGACGCTCATCGATTTTGCGCTGCTTCGCATCCTGCAATTGTGACGTCAACTCATCCAAGCGGCGCTTCTTTTGCTCAGCAGCCAACAACGCCAGGTCGTGCTGCTCCAACGACCATTTTTCGAGGTTCTCGCGTGTGCGCTGACAGGCGCGCTGATAAAATTGGCG